CATACTTACATTATTCACAAGGGTTAATAATATTATAATATATGGTTATTTAATATGACTAACTCTATGACATGCCATTGACAGCTTTATTTCACACACATGGTTTTTTGTTACCATGACATGCCCTTTCCTCTACCTATATTTTCCAATGCAAGTATGAGGACAAAATTGTCAACATGTAAAAGTAGTTTTGGACTTGTACATGCAGTATAAATGTCAATGCTATTACATGTTGTCTTTCACAACTCTCAACTTGTAGAAAATAGTGTTGGTATTGGTACTAATTAGAAAATGACAAATGAAGATGTTGAGAATGGAGAAATTAGTGTGGTGAAGTATAATATGCAAGAGCCATTCATTCAAAAAGATGGTGATGCATGTGAAGAAGTTGAATCAGATCATAAAAGTGTGGAAAATGGATCCATTGGAATGGTTCTGCTTAGCATAGTTGTTGTTGTTTATGGCTCTTTTTAATTTGGAACTTGTGTAAGTATACTCTTTTTTTATTATTTGTGTGTATTAGAGTAAACAACCTAACTAAACTTAAAATGACGTTCTCTTAAATTTTTGAAGGCTCTGTGTAAAGTTATTATAATTAAAACAAATTGAGGCTCTTTTTAGGCATGAGTCCTGTATGATAGTCCGTTTTGCACGTCCTTAAAGACGACACTGCCTAATGCTCAAGTTATTATTTTTGTTATTAGGTGGGTTATTCAGCACCTACTCAAGTTGCTATAAGGGAAGATCTTAATCTATCTCTTGCTTAAGTAATTACTATACTATTTTTTTCTTCCTATTTTATATCATTTGAAAGAATATCATTCTTTTCAATTAACTTTATACTTTTAATAACTTAATTATTTGGATTTGCAGTTTTCAATGTTTGGTTCTTTGGTGACCATTGGTGCAATGCTTGGAGCCATAACAAGTGGTAGAATTACTGATTTCATTGGAAGAAAAGGGGTATGTACTATGTATGTCACATTTAACTCTGTCGTTTAAGATTTTGACATACAAAAATATAAAGTTGCGTAAACAACAAACAAACAGGCAATGAGAATTTCAACAGGATTTTGCATTACAGGATGGTTAGCTGTTTTCTTCTCTAAGGTATGTATGTGTTCATCATCTTCTAATTAAACGATTGTGGCAAAAAAAGAAAAAACCATCTTCTAATGTAATGCAGGGTTCTTCTACACTTGACTTAGGAAGGTTATTTACAGGATATGGAATTGGAGTTATCTCATATGTGGTAATTAATTCATTTATGAACACAAAACAATGGAACACTTTAGTTACAAAATTTGGTTAGTTTTGTAATATTGTAACGTTTCTAACAAAAATCAGCAAAATGGGCCAGGTTCCTGTATATATAGCAGAAATAGCACTAAAAAATCTTAGAGGAATGCTTGCAACAACAAATCAGGTGAAATATATATAAAAAAATGTATATCTTTTGGCTAATTAAGTATAATTGAATTGGATTTTAGCAGTGACTAAATGACTGTTTTGCAACTTATGATTGTTATTGGATCATCGGTGTCATTTTGATTAGGAAGTCTAATAAATTGGAGACAATTAGCACTAGCAGGTAGCATTCAATTCATAAAAATGGTTTTGAATTTTTGGCTCAAGGATATAACAGATTAGAGATAAACTAACAACTATCTGTTAATTTGGTTTGGCTTAAAATATTGAAGGACTAGTGCATTTCATTTGTTTGTTGGTTGGTTTGTGCTTCATTCCCGAGTCTCCTCGATGGCTGGTAAGGATTAAGCTATACCGTTTGTTTGGGTTAACTTTTTGCGCTTACCTACTAATACAAATAACTTGCGAGACTTTTATAAGAGAGCTTATGAAAACATCTTATGACATTTTCATGATTTTTCAGGCAAATGTTGGTCGTGAAAAAGAGTTTCAACTAGCTTTAAGGAAACTTTGGGGCAAAGATGTTGATATTTCTCATGAAGCTATTGAAATTATGGTACATTCAGACTTTCTTAACTGATTAAAATCATGCAAAAATTTCAATTAATTTGACATGTTTGATTCATTTTTTCCTATAGGATAATATTGAAATTCTTCAAAGTCTTCCTAAGGCTAAGATGTTGGATTTGTTCCAAAGCAGATATTTGCGGTCTGTAGTTGTAAGTAACATACTTCACTTCGTTTTCTTCCGGTCAAATCATGCACTCCATCTGTTTGTCATATTTATTCACCTAACTATTCTCCATATTTAAATATGCTTATCTCTCTTACTAACTCTATGATAATACTAATACAACCTTTTAAGTCTTGAAGTGAAGAAATTATACATTTTTTTTTTAAATTGCTAGTATTATTAGTTGCTAGCTTAAAACGACTTATGATTGAGTTAAGGTGAGCCGATGTTTATATAACTTTATTATGTAATTTTTAATATGTATTTTCTAATATTAAGTTGTTTCTAAGGTTTTATAAGTGATTAAATAATCATTTGAGTTTTTGAATATGTTAGGTGGTGTTATTATAACTTTTCTATGTATCTAAATTACAAAATCATCTCTGGATGTGTTTATTACTAGTTAGTGTAGTTCTCAAATGCTAGTTTAAATGCTAAAAAAAGTTAAGTTTGACTTAAAACACTGTTAGTTTTTGGTTTTAAGTGCTAGTTTATGAATTATACTTTTGTAGGGGAACTATTTTGTTGACATTGTATTTGGTGGTACGGACAGCGTACAACTGAAAGGACCCAAGATTACAGCGGAACTTAAGTTAAATAAGTAATACTTTCTACTGTATTAGTAGCTGTATTTTTTTTTGTAAAAGCATTAGCAATATGTGTAAACTTGTCTGTTATTTGTCATGCAGATTTTGAAACCAGCTTTTACAATCATAGTTGATCACAAGATGAGGTGTCTTTTATTGTTTATTCATGGCACACATAGTATCAAGGATACTCTAACAGCTGTTATATGAATTGTGGTACCATTTCATCACTGTAGTTCATAGGGGGAGTTAGTGACTTGGTTTTAGGATATGCACATGTGGAATGGTTGCTGTTGCACGTTGGATTGCAAAGCTTACAACTCATTGTCTCCTTGATGCACTTGGCCAATACCCAAATTATGAAGTTAAGGTAAAAATGTTTGTCTTTATAACATCCCTGACTCTTTGACTAAGTAATCCCTTTAACAAGTTTCCCTGTTATACCATGATAGAATTTTGCTTAAAATATTCTTATCAAGCATTTATAAGTAATCCCTTTTGTCAACACTAAAGTAGCTAAGAATAGGAAGCTTGTGGAACAGTCTGAGCTTGAGTTGGAAGAATGTGAAGCGCTGAAGAAGGAACTGACTGAGAAGCTGAAAGCAGTATGTGAGAAAGAGACTCTTAGCATAGAGAATCCGGCCATAGCAAAGGATGAGTCTGCCGCAACATCTCGAATAATCGGGTTTGCCATAGCTAAAGTCGGTCGCTTTCTTAATTGCTTAATGGTTGATGCTTTGATTTAGCTATCCAATTTCAGTTTTCTGCTCTCTTCTGTGTAATGGTTTTAGGATTGCTTTCTGTGTTTGTTATGGTTGCATGTGTAACATTATAGCCAACCATTCAGAATGTTCATATGAATGTGCCTTGTAGATTTGATTATGTGTAATGTTTTTAAGAATCCTTTGTTCACGTGACCCCTTTGAGAAATGAAAGTTCATCTCAAAAGTTTTACTCATTCTGTCTACCATTTGATTATTTGCCAAGTTTACTCTATTGTTGCTTTGTTTTAAATCACTAGTTGGATATGAATCGTTCCTTACACATATTGTATTCAAGTGTTATAGGACATAAATCAAAGGAGTCTATTATAAACTCAACTTTTGGGAGTAATATTACTTAAACATATTTGCACACTTATGTAAATATTATTTTAGAAAAAAAATGCATTAACTTTTTTATGAATCAGCTATTTCTATAATAAAAAATATTAAGAAATTAAATTAGATTTTTATTTTAATATTATTGTTACTTTGATATTTAACAATTATTATGATATTTTAAATATGCATTAAACACAATTAATGATAAAAATTAAAAACCTCAGAGAAATTACTTGCGATTTTACTTGCGACTTTAGTATTTGCTGCGACATTTCCTGCAAAAATTGCAATTACCAGCGGTATTATCTTCGAATTTATCTACTTTACCTGCGAATTTATCTTCGAATTTCTAGTAGTGACTGCCAACATTCACAATCTTTCCTTGTGTAACATGAAACAATAAGATAAAACAGTTTATGATAACAATTTATGTTATACCTGCCAAACATGAAATACACAATCAGTGTAAGCAAGTCAGAAGATAAAACAATATGAGATGTATACAAAAGTAACAAATTGTAGTAAATATAATTCACTAGGGTGAATGCAGACAGAAAGTATCGAGAAAAAAAGAATATATTGATGGTAAATAAATTTCATAATCATTTCCAGTTTGCTTCTTCAACACTAGCAACAAAAAGTAATGCATTGATTACACCAAATAATGAAGCATGCTTCTAACTATTATATAATGGATCAATCGGCATTGGCAGGTCTCCACATAGCTGCTCACAATAGAAACCTTATATTACAGGTCATGTTATTGTTACTAACATAATGGAAGTTGTACCCAAATGGATTTTATCCATTACTTTTTCCAAAGCAAGTTGAATAGTTTTTGCTTTCAATTGCCTGGACTTCAATCATAGATACTACAACAATAACCAAGTTTTATCCCACTAAGTGAGGCCGGCTACACAGATCAGTTTTCGCTATAAGGTTCTATCCTAAAGCATACTTCTATCCAAATCATTAATCTCGAAATCTTTCTTAATAACTTCTCTTATAGTTTTTTGAAGCCTTCTTCTACCTCTAATTGTTTGACTCCTCTCCGTCAGATTTACTCTCCTTATAGATTCTACAAGTCTTCTTTCTACATGTTCAAAGATATTATTCTAAAGAAAATTGAAAATATACAAGAGAGGAGAATCAACGTTCATACCAAGCCTTGGGCAAATCATCAAAAAATTTTTTGGAAAGAGGCAACACCATAAGCATTGGTCTGCCAAGTAGAAGATAATTTTGATCATCACTAACAGTAGCAATAGTCAGAGAGTTATTTGGAGCTTTACCGAATTGAACCAGAAGATAAACCCCATAGCCCACCATTGCTAGACCAGTAATGGTTAGTAAGCTATTCAAAAGGTTCAAAACACATTCCCAACAACCCCTAAAAGCCATCCTCCTCTAGTCACAATCCTACTTCAATCCTTCAACCATAATTGAAACGGTTTCCAATCCAAAATATTTCTTCCTTGCACAAAAGACAAATCCATAAAACATTAGTAATTACTAATAACATGAAATTACCACAACAATAAAAACATTAATAACTTGTTGTTTCAATATACACATGAATTTAAACATCCTGGGACTGTATAAAACAATTGACCCAGGTCAATCACGCTGGTAAATTCGAGGCCATCACGTTAATTTCAAGAATATTGGGTGAATATTCAGAATATTGGGTAGATAAGGACAAAATATCCAAGTGCCTCAAAGCTTTGCAATCATCAAGTTCTAATTACCTACTTTTGGCATACCTAGATGCGGTTAGAGCTCAACATAGTGAAAGTGTTGAAATTTTGGTAACTGCCTAACTACTGATTGCCAAAAAAGCATAAACTTTATATACTCTTTAAGGACACTAATATAACCATGATAGAAGCAATAATTTTAGGCAGTTAAGTGATGACAATCAACAAAATTCAAAGATAAAAATAATAACAAACCCATAACAAAATAAAACTCTTATAAATAGGTGGAAATTACATTCAAAAGCAAAAATTCAAAAACACAATTATTGGAAACTGGAGAACCACTTAATATATCATATATTTCTTTAGTGGATTCTTTCTCAACTTCTATTGAATGGAAAACCTCCTCGATAAGATTGATAGTGACAAAGATATGTCCTTTGTCTGTGAACTGCCAAACAAATAAAAGCATTACTAACCCAAACAGAAGACATAATTATACACTTATACTCATGAGTACAGCCAAAGTAAAATTGCAGCAAGAATATCAATTCATTTCAGGAGTGTGAAATAACCTAATAGCATGCAAGCATTCATCGGCAGAAACAATTGTTGTGGCTCTGCAAATTCCAGTTAACTTATCGCCAGTAGCATCTTTTCCAAGAAACCTATCCAGCATCTTCCCGAAAGAACCAAGAACACTGCTGAAAGTGGAGATGTCAAACTTAACTTGTCGACATATATCATGGACCTGCGAGAAGCCGGATCAATTAGTATACTTATTAAATACAAATCAATCCTAATGTAAATAAATTAAATCAAAAAATTATAAAAAACTGAAAACTGATATATAAACCGCTCATTACTCAAGTTACACCACCATTCACCATTAAAATATTTAAAGCTATGCTAATAACACTTTTTTTTCAACACTCTTTCAAACACTTATTTTATAAGGCTGCCAAACATTGACGGTGTCTTGGACGGAACTGAACTGGCCTTTACCGTTAACATCAACTGTTATTACAAGGTGACCAACATGTCTGATCCAGTGGTAATTGTCATTGGATGAGTTTGAATCTAAGTTTCATCCAGTTGCATTAGCTTTCCAAGATGAAAATGTGCCAGAAGGGTCTGTTTGGGACGGTGACCCGATGTATGGATCAAAGCCAACAATCAAGGTTGAAAGCCCAAAGGGTCTTGCACCACCCATTTGTGTGGACTTCTGCTGAAGACCTGCAATGTCACAGGTTATAGGCCATGTTGTACTCAATATATAGGCTATGATGTCATGTAGTTATTCAGACTAAAACTAATATCCTACATGAAATGTGTGATGCATCTGTTTACCGTGTTTTTTGGTAAACAACCTCTGGTCTATCAATTTGGTGTCAAATTGACTAACTTGCAGGATTGACCATACAAAATCCTAGGATATGTGCTGAAGGGTGTTTCTATTTGAACCTATCTAGAAATGTGTTTCAACAATACTAAGAAGAAATAACTTAAAAGGGGGGCAGAAATTATCCACTATGTTTAAAGGAAAGGAGGAAGAAGAATTATTAGAGGGAAAAGAGATAAAGATTTTTTGGGAGGGAAAGACCTAATCGAAGTGGTAATGATGATCAAAAGGGAAAGACGAAACAAATAAATAAAAGTACTTGACGAAAGTAAAGAAAACAAAGTAACTTCATTGAAAAGATAAAGGATGGTGTGTTTACATCATGTACATTCTTTATAATACTCTCTTTCTGTATGCTTGGATACTTGGAGTAATTTTAAGAGTGACTTGTACAACAGTAAATTACAACACACCAAGTTTTATGTCTAAGACTACTATTTATAATAATAATAGTAACTGCTAATAACCGCTAATAACCTACTTAGGCCATCTATTCTTGACAAGTGTCAGACCGCATGCAGTCCTTTATCCGATGAGAGCCACTTGTCCTTCTTAGTCATAAGAAAATATAACTACTCCCTCCAAGACTCGAATTTCAAAAACTCACTTCGTCCCTTCTTCTAAATCTCGGTCGAAGACCACTTCGCTTGCTTAGGTCGAAGTGTTTAATTTTAAGACTTCCATTTTCCTAAGTCCTTGGAAGACTTGTAGGTCTTTTTAATATGCTGAAAATAGCCTCCAACATGAGTCGTCGAATTGGTGAGCTAACAAATTGCCCCCCAAAAATGTAGTTTTCGACACTACAAAAAGTACATTTTTTGACAGCATCCAAATTCGACGCCGTTTACCTTCGACTATATCCTGATAGTTGACCCACCTTCAACTACTTCGAGTTTAGGAAACTGAAAGGTGATGGGAGAGGATATATCCATAATCTCACGCAAAAGGGAACTGTTACGCCACCTTGATGCACGATCTCTGACGTCATGAACATCATGGCAAATTTCTCGGGAATCACCAAAATCGTGAGCCATCATTACCCCTATAGAGCATAGGTTACAACTGCCACTTCTACTAACTCATCCTGAGCACACGCGTGGCCCACTAACCCCAGCCATTTGTAAAAACTCTTGAATTTCCTCTTTTCACTTATAAATAATTTTCAGAACGTCTTTTACTTTTACTTCTTCAAACTTTTTTTACAACATTGCCTCACATTTTATTCTCACCGTTTTTTCTTCCAAGAACACTCCTCCAACACTCATCATGGCTGAGCTAAGATCCCAGAAACAGAAAACCCAGTCTCATCAACAAACCTATTCTTCCACCCTTCCCCCTTTTGCTTCTCTGAGTGGACCGAAGGTGGTAAAGAATCAGCAACTCGTGCGAGAGCCTCTACTGGAGGAGAAACGCCATATATACGAATCCCAGGTAATCATACCCGTTACTGTCGCGAATAAACTGCTTGCCATGTCCGGGCCTCTATCCCTCTCAGGTTTAAACTATTCCACTTTGAATGAGTTTTTTCCTTCTTATCGAAAAACCAAACCCCTAGGGCAAAAAGACTCCCAAAAGGTTCCCTTGGATAATCCAGATAGCTTGGATGTTTATAATGTGGATCTCAAGTATCTCCACGATGGCGCAAGATTGTTTAGGGCTACGCCATATTTCAAGGATTCTGAACTCTACCTCAACTGGTTGAAGAAGGTAGAAAAAGCAAAAAGTCAAGACTGGAAAGATATGGGCATCTATGACCTTATTATGATGTCGAAAGTAGGTCCCAACTACTGTCCTCTGATGTTGGCTACGTCTTTGTTCTTTTGGGACAACACACATTACACTTTTCATCTTCCATGTGGGATGATGACGCCTACTTTGTTCGATATTGCTGCTATTGTAGGACTGAAACCTCATGGACTGACTTACGACCCGAAAGTTGATAGCCAAGACACTATCGGTTTCTCAACCATCAAACATACTTATACCCATTTCATCAACCATTATCATGACAAAAATAATGTCGCGGTTAAAGACGAGGAACATATAGCCTTTTTGGCCATGTGGTTGTCTCGTTGCATTTTCTGTACTAAATCCTTGCAGGTGGCGCGAAAATACTTAACACTGGCGAACCAGCTACATGCCAAGAGAGACATATGTTTAAGCGAAATGATCCTTGCAAGTCTATACGAAGCCTTAAGCGAAAGTGCCGGCAAACTGAAGGACCCTGAGAATAACGACAATTTGGTAATGTCGGGGCCGTTTTAGTTACTTCAATTGTGGTTAAACGCCACTTTTGAAGGCAGCCTACCAAATAAGGGTGAAGTTGATGAAGGTTCTCCTTCGATCTCTGGAAGACAAGTCGAATGGCCTCGCTTAGTTCAGCTTACCCCCAGCGAAGAAGGGCAAACACTTCGAGCCAACTTCTCAGGCTTCGTCCAGATGTTTGCGAAGCGCCATGTCTTCACACCTGGGATGGCTCCCTTCGCAGAACGGAAACGTGGCCCTGAATGGTTCATTAGGCCTTTCCCAGCTTTGCTCAAGAAACAAGAAGAGGAATCGAAGCTAATTTGGGAGCGATTCCTTACACCTCGACTATTTGTCCACAAACTCAATCTAACAAGAGGGAAAACTTCCCTGATAGCTTACCAACCAAATCTTGTGTCGAGACAGTTTGGACTTATCCAAACCATACCTAGGTGTTTATACGAGAAAAAATCCCACATTCTGATTTCACACCACATCGTTAACCCCATCGAATGTTCGACCCAATTGGCGCGTCATGCCCATAAATCCTTACTTACCCCACTTTATTTTGAACCTTCTTATTTCTGTTCCCCAGAATTTTATAACTGGTGGTCCAGACATTATTCTTCTGAATTTCTTGATGCTGCCAGTCTTACTCGAATGATTGATCAAGCTTTCGTTGATGTGAAGGAAAAAACCAAGAAAGGTAGGTCCACTCACATAAAGGAGATAGTATGGACTTATCCAAACCATACCTAGGTGTTTATACGAGAAAAAATCCCATGTTCTGCTTTCACACCACATCGTTAACCCCATCGAATGTTCGACCCAATTGGCGCGTCATGCCCATAAATCCTTACTTACCCCACTTTATTTTGAACCTTCTTATTTCTGTTCCCCAGAATTTTATAACTGGTGGTCCAGACATTATTCTTCTGAATTTCTTGATGCTGCCAGTCTTACTCGAATGATTGATCAAGCTTTCGTTGATGTGAAGGAAAAAACCAAGAAAGGTAGGTCCATTCACATAAAGGAGATACAAGCCTTCCAAAAATACT